CATGTGCTAATTTTGTAATTTATTATTCAATTTTGTAGTTCAATAACAAAAAAAACAACAAAATCACCACCGAAAACACTGTCAAGGAAGAAGATCCTTTGAGGAGGATAAACTATGCCACATCCTTCCACTCCTCTACTTATCTCAAGAGGTGGAAGCCAGTGGATCCGTGTTGTTGTTTTTGTTAAAGTGCTGTCTTGTCGGTTCAGACTCACAGCGACCCTGTATAGGGTTTCTGAGAAGTGGTTGGTGGCTTTGAACCACGAACTTTGTGATTAGCAGTCCAGTGTGTTACTACAGAGCCACACCAGGTCTTGTTATGTGTCGTGGAGTCAGTTCCAATTCACAGCGACCCTGTACAGAGTTTCCAAGGCGGTAAATCTTTATAGAAGCAGAAAGCCTCATCTTTCTCATACGGAACAGGTGGTAATTTCAAACTGCTGGCCTTGAGGTTTGCAGCCTGATTGTAACCACTACACTACCAGAACTCCTACATCAGGTCCTGTTGTTGTTGTTGTTAAGTGCCGTCGAGTCGGTTCTGACCCATAGCGACCCTGTAACAGGGTTTCCGAGGGTGTAAATCCTTGTTGTTGTTGTTGTTAAGTGCCATTGAGTCGGTTCCGACCCATAGCGACCTTGTATAGGGTTTCCGAGGGTGTAAATCTTTACGGGAGTAGAAAGCCTCATCTTTCTCCCGCGGAGCGGCTGGTAGTTTCGAACCGCTGACCTTAAGGTTCGCAGCCCGATTCGTAACCACTACGCTACCAGTCTTAGAGGGGGAAAAAACTTTCTATGACCAAGAAGTTTGGAAGCATTGGCTTAAACAAAATTAGCTTTAACAAGCTAATGTTGACTGAATTGATATGGGGGACCGAATTTGTAGATGAAGCCGTTAGATATGCTCCTAGAGCATTTTCTTTCTAGGTACCTCATGGAACCTGTGTTTTTTAGAACAGGCTTTGGAAATGCAGCTGTTTTTTCTTTGTTTGGTAAGTGCCATTGAGCAGGTTCTGGCTCATAGAGAATCTGTATAGGGTTTCTGAGGAATAGTTGATGAGTTTTAACAACTAACCTTGCCTTTCAAGATGACCTTGCGATTCAGTGCATCTCCTACAGCACCACACCAGAACTTCATAAATCTTTTGAAAACATTCAAGTTCATTCTTTTCTTTTCTTCCCTTAGATTAACCTCATTCATATGTCTCTGGCAGGGTGAATCTGATAGTCCCTGGCCCCCTTTCAGCCATCCTGTTTACCCAGCGTGACATCTGCTTTAGGCAACTCCAGAAACTGATTTTCCTCTCCTAAGGCAGGAGGCAAAAAACTTTCTTTCATTGTTTTTGTTAAGTGTCTTCAAGTCAATTCTGACTCACAGCAACCCTGTATAGGGTTTCTGAAGTGGGACTGGTGGATTTGAACTGCTAACCTTATGGTTCAAACTGACAAAATCTGAATTTCCCATGACCCTTGGTTCTTTCTCCTTCAAAACCTCATGCTTTCATGAGTCTGGTGCCGTTGCAATGAATCCCACTCTTGACGCCAACTTCTCAAACCGAGTGGAGACTGTATCTGACTTCTCCTGACTCCACAAGAAGGAAAAAAGACGAAATTCAAAATCAGCACAAGGCCAATTCCTAGGAAGTAAAGGTCAGAAATGCCTCCACTCTATATCAATGTATTTAAAATTAGTCAGACTTTGAGCATCAATTTAGAAAGCGCATCCTTGTGATTTTGTTTCTCTAGATCCCACTCTCTCAGCACCATAGGCTGAGTTATATATATATATATATATACACATAAGCATATATATGTACATATAAAGAGAAGTTTATGTCAACTCAACACTGGGGTTGACTGGTAGAAGCCACATCCCTGGAAGGTATCCTGAGCCCATCTACTCCCACCCCACCCAACTCGCTTCAGAAATGCTTTCATTGAATTGAGTTTGTCCTTGAAGCCATTAGCTTATACTGTGAAGTACAGCAGCCCTTCAGAGTTCACAACAACATTTGTATGCTTTTCCAGTGTTCTCTGTGAGGAAGGAAATGCTTGTAGGTATTAGAACGAAGACAATTTGACTTCTTCTGAATAAATGGGTCTATGGTCTTTTGATCTGGATGTGTTTCCTTCTTCGTATTTATTGCCAGGAAGCTCCGAGCAAAGTTGTTTATGTAGCAAGTGCATAGGACTATAAGATGAACAGTTGATGTTCTAACCTCATATTGATCCATTTTTCTTTCCTTTTTTTTTTTTAATCTTTGTTTTATCTTCTTCTCCTAGTTCTAATTTATGTCCTCATAGTATTATATTTTATGGTTTTTCAACAGCCCCCTTAATTCTTTTTTTCCTCAAGTATAGGGAAAAGATGGGACAGATAAATGGGTAGATGAAAGAAAAATTGTGTGTAATATGTGTTGTATGGGAGGCGGGGAATGTGTGTCTATGTGTAAGTAATTTTATGAGTGTGTGTTAGGGATTTTATGACTCACCATGTGCTATGTGTAAGGAGCTCTGGTAGCATAGTGGTTATGAATCGGGCTGCCACCCTCAAGGTCAGCAGTTCGAAACTACCAGTGGTTCCGTGGGAGAAAGATGAGGCGTTCTGCTCCTGTAAAGATTTACAGCCTCGGAAACCCTGTGCAGGGTTGCTATGAGTCAGAACCAACTCCACGGCACATAACAACAACAACATGTGCAATGTGTGTAGTCCCTGCCTCTGGATCTGTTGTTGTTGCTGAGTGCCATCTAGTTGATTTGGACTCACAGCGACCCCATGAGATAGAGTAGAACGTCCCCACAGGGTTTTCATGGCTGTAATCTTTATGGAAGCAGATCACCAGGGCTTTCTTCCACAAATCTTCTGGGTGGGTTGGAACTGCTAACCTTCCAGGTAGTAGTTGAGTGCTTAACTGTTGCACAACCAGGATTCCTTGCCTCTGAACATATGTGCACACATACATTTCTCTGTGATAGCATCTACTGTAGTTTGAATAGGAAGGTTCATGTGTGTGTTTGTGTGTGTACCAGTATATGGACTCTGCCCTGAGGAAGGCCCCATGACCCAGCCCAGGATCGAGGCTGCAAATGTTCTCACACACACTATACACAGGAAATAAGCTTACAGGCAAAGCCACACCGAGCACCATTTGCAAGGGGAGAGAGTATCCAATCTCCATTACATGCGTCAGGTACTATGTAGGGTACGCCAAAATCATTGTTTTCTCTTCAGTTCCCACAGCACACTGTAAGGAGGGAGTTTATCATTGCCTCTTTACAGATAAGTAAAGTTTAGAGAGGCAAAGTCACTCCCCCCAAGGATATAGCAAAACTGGAATTATAATTGGGTCTACTTGTTGCAAAGAAACACATGTTCTTTGCACTGTTACACCCATTGCTTTGGGCTTGCTCTGATGTCCTGATCTCACATTGTTGTTGTTAAGTGCCATCAAGTCAGTTCCGACCCATAGCAAGCCTGTTTAGGGTTTCCAAGGAGCGGTTGGTGAGCTTGAACTGTCTACCATGAGGATCAAACTGACTTTGCAGTCCAGCACGTTAACCCACAGCACCACACCAGGACTCATAGTACCCAAGAAATAGAGCCCAGGGATAGACACCTTCCTGCACTAGTCATGAAATACAAAATGGACCTTCATGGATTCTTCCAGGAAGCCTTCCAGTTCACCCTGAGGGAAGTCTCCCTTCCTCTGAGCCTTCAGCCCTTTCTCTGCCCCATTTTCACCCTTCAAAAAGAACTTCTGTTCTCATGCCCCAAGTGTGAGGGCCTCTGTTGATTCATCTGCCAGCATCAGGCTGAGCAGAGGGGACTGTTCTCTTCTCTCCAGGATGTGGATGAGACCCCTGAAGCATAGAGCGACCCAGCCTATCCCCCAGTTGTCATATGAGCTTGTAGGCCTGGGGACTGAAAAAGGTTAGGATGTGCTGATTGGGCGGAAACTGTGTATCAAGAAAATCTCCAGTGGCGGTCAGTGAGGCCGGGGAAATCTGGAATGTCTGGTTGAGGTGGGGACTACCCCACTAAACTGAAAGCTTGGGTCTCAAAAGTGAGGGGTGGGAAGGTAGTTGACTATGTCTTCCTGGGCCGCCACCACTCTTAGATTTGAAGCAGGAATCAGCAGGACCAACTGGCCTCTAAACATGTGGTCACAGTGTATATGGGGCTCAAGCAAGAGGGAGCAAGGGGACAGTGTACTGCGACACTTGGCAGGGGCAGGAATGGCAACTTTCCAGATGGAAGTTCAAAAGTTCCTTGCCGGGTACCAACTGTACCCCTGTCAGGAATAAAAATAGCTCTTCTCTCCTTTTCCCAACAACCCCCTCTCCCCTCTAATTTCCCAAAGTCAGATCAGATATTTCCACCCTGGATCTCCACACTAGAAAATAAATACCCCCAACTCCTGTCAAGGGAATCCTCCCTGTCAAGCAGTGCTGGTCAGTGAGCTCTGAAACCACTTCTCACGTGTCCATCCGGAAGTTGTGGGTGACTCCTCTCTCTCTCAGGTCTGGTCACTTGGTTTGCACAAGAACCAGAAGTATTCCTGGGCCCCGCTGACTCAAGCCTGTGCATTGCTTTGCCTCATGGGGAGGTTGGGGGGTTGTCACAGTCTGGGCTACTACTCTGCCCTCCGGTGTTCTAACCTTGGCTCTGCCACTGCCTTGAGACTGTGGAGAGTGAATGTCTCGCCCACCCTGGGCCTTAGGAACCTCATCCATCACTGGGCTTGGTGATTTCTGAATACTTTTTAAATATCTCACTATTCATATGCTGGATTTTCAAAGAACATGCTTCCAGTGAGGTGGGGGCTGATGGCACAAAGTGTGGCAAGGAGAAGATCCACCAACTATGCAGCAAAGAAGTGATCCAGACACACTCCATGCCTCCCACCTGACTACCAGTAAGTTTCTCTGTCCTCCAGCTTCTGTGCCAGGCTGCAGCCCTCTGCTGTCAGAGCCCTTAGACCCTTGTCCCCAGTGCTCCTTACCTGCCCAGCCTGGGAACCCTCTGGCCCCATTCACATGGTCCTCCTGGCCCAGCCTGGTTGCCCGGGTCTCAGCTCCCCTCACAGTCGTAGCTACTGCTTGTCTCCCCGCGCCCACGTTCCACCCTGACTTCCTGCCTCCTCCTGAGGGCTCTTCAGCCAACCCAACCCCAGCAGCCCAACCACAAGCCTCTAGCACCTCAAGTTTCCTGTCACCATAGCCCCCCATCTCTCAGCCCTGGGGGTCCCCCATACAGCTCCAGGGGCAGACCCTATTGACAATGAGTGTGAATACTAGAAGGACAAAACTTGAAAGGAGGATGTTTGATGGAACCTTCTCTCCTGAGAACCTTCTCACCTGGACAAGAGATTCAAGGCTAGTCTTTGAGCTAAGTGAGCAGGGGGTAAGCAGACACTCAGCCTGCAGTAAAAGGCAGGTAGCTCTGCTTTTTACAATCTGAGAGCCCAGTGACCCTTTTCTTTCTGTCTGAGGTCACGATAAATTGGCTTCAGAGGAAAGGACAATGTCCCTGTTAAATCCTTGGAGAACAAAACAACACACCATTACAGTATGACAGCAGGGTAGCCCTACTTCTGCAGTTGGTGGATAGAACAACCCCCATCTCTTACTCAGGACACAACAACATCTAACGTTCCTCCTACAGTCAGAATATGTACAACAGTCTTTTTCAGAAGCAGACAGGACAACTCCATGCTTTCAAGAAGGTAGAGAAACAGCCTCTGCCATAGCAGAGGGAAAAACCCAAACCAAACCCATTGTTACTGAGTCGATTCTGACTCCCAGCATTCCCTTCTGTGTCAGTGTAGAACTGTGATCCATAGGGTTATTAATGGTTTTTTCAGAAGCAAATCACCAAGCCTTTCTTCTGAGATGTTTCTGGGTGGACTTAAACAGAGAACTTTTTAGTGAGCAGCTGAGCATGTTAACAATTTGCAACACTAATTATGATTAGAAAACAGAGGCAAGGCCATAGTCCCTGTTAGAGATTCAGGGCCTGGCACCATCTCCTCCATTAGACAGAAGATAGAACAAGAACTCCTACCCAGGCACCCATTTGCAGGCTTCAGACAAGCTCCTTGTTACAAGCAGCAGACAGGTCAAAAAGCTCCAGGAAGGAGGCACCCATCAAAGGCTGAGGGCCAAGAGTTCTAGCTGGCTTCTGTCAGGCCTAAGAGCTGGGCTTGACCCCACCCAGAGGAAAGTGTGAATTCATCACAGTCTGAGTCTTAAGTCTGCTCAGGTGGGGGGAAGGGAACCCGCAGAGTATTGTTGGGGTTTGTGAGGTGGAAGCTGATGTTGTGTGCACCTCAGTTGCGGAGGGAAGGTGGGGGGGCAGGAAACGGGTGGGGGAAAGAGGAAGCCTGAGTTGGAAAGTCAGACAAAGAAGGTAACACAGAAACAAAAGCTGAGAGATACAAAGTAAGAAACTTTCAGAGTGACACAGAGCCCAGAACCCAGGCCCTGGGCCTGATACAGGACAAAGGACTCAGCTCGTCTTGCTGTGTGATTCTGAGCACTTCACAGTCCATCTCTGAGCCTTAGCTCAATAATAATAATAATAATACTGGGTAATCATAATAATAAGCAATGGATAGTTTACATTTATTGAGGACTGTGCATTATCTCATTACTGATTATTTATGGAGTGAGAATTTGCATCTCCATTTTTAAGAAGTGAGAAAATAGTGTCAGGGGTTAAGAGACCTCTTCATTTCTAATTTAGGTAGAGGTGACGTCTAATAGAACTAAATGCAAGAGTTGACTTTTAACCAAGGTTAACCAAGGAGCCCTGGTGGTATAGAGGTCAAGAACTTGGCTGTTATCTAGAATGTTGTGAGTTCAAACTCACCAACCACTCTGCAAGAGAAAGATGTGGCAGTCTGCTTCAGTAAAGATTGACAATCTTGGAAACCCAGAGCAATTACACTCTGACCTACAAGGTCACTGTTGGGAAATTGAGTCAACGACAACTATGCATTCTACTCACACACAAAACCCACTGTCTGGTCAATTCCAATGCATAGAGACCCTGTAGGACAGTGTCCATCTGCTGCTCCCCAGGGTTTCTGAGACTGTTCATCTTTTCAAGGGCAGACAGTTTTCTATTTCTCACACAGAGAAACTGGTGGGTTCGAAACCTCAAATTTGGCCTTTAGCAGACCAAGACTTAATCCATTGTGCCACCAGGGATCCTTTTGCACTCTACAGTCTTCCAATTTTACCAGGTAGGGGCAATTTAGGATTTTAAATATCTTCTCAGTTCTGATCTTGGTAAGATAGAGAGATAAGAGAGAACTCAAACTCTGGAAGAAAAGGGAAGCCATTAATCCTCCTTCCTATCTTACCCACCCCACCCCAAGGTTTTCACTCCTGGAGGGGAATCTTTGGTTCCAACCCTATACAGGCAGCCTGGGGCCTAAATAAACAACTACAGGGACCTGGAGAGGAAGCTTAGAGGGTGTTTATTAAAGATTCTGAGGGTGTTGAACACCTCTTCTTCTCAGCTGAGGCAGCAGGGAGGGGCAGGATGCCAGAGCTTTGCACACTCAGAAGTTCGCCCCACCCCATCCTTGTCAGTTGCTGAGGCTTATGGGGGACCCCTCCTCCTTGAGGGGGGTGAGAAGAGGCAGCGGGTGGCCCGGGAGGCACGCAGGTGCCCCTCAGCAAAGGGTAAAGCGACGGGAGCTGATGTTCATGCGCGTGAGGCCAAGGTGCCGTAGGCGCGAGGCCAGAGTCAGCCCAGTTCCGGGCTCCAGCTCCATCTCCAGCTCGGCCTCGTCCAGCAATTCCTGGTGTAGATGACAGGCCTGGTCCACCTTCAGCCGATGCAGCTGGGCCCGCAGCCGCAGAAGCTGCCCTGCCAGCTGCTGATCCTGAACCTGCATCTGCCGCTGTAACCAAGAGAGGGCTCTTTTGAACCTACCCTCCACTTTGCATCACCATTGGTCCCTTCCTGTCAATGCACTGTGTCCTGTCCAGACTCCTCTCCCTAGTTTAATGCCTTGGATCTCTCAGATCTTGCTTCACACTGATGGTTCTCAAATCAAGTTAAGGAGCCATCATTAATAAATACAGATGCCTGGGGTCCTATCCCAGATCAGCTAAGCAGGATAAAGCCTTGATATCTTTGTACATGTTGGGTTGAAAGTCACCTAGTCTTCACTCACCCTCTCAGATCTCTGTTTACAGAGTGGTACTTTTGTATTTCACCCTATTTGGGCTAGGAGCAGCCCCCAAAGTGGAGAGGCAAAATCTTTTCCAGCTGGTAACTGGTGCCCCTGGAAGATGCCTGAGCTTTAGAAGCACAGGGTCAATGGATTGGCTGGACTCCTTCTTCAGCAAAGCCCCCAAATAAAACACTGATAAGTCCATTCCTGGCTCCTCAGCCACTGGACAGTCAGTCATAGGGGTAGGCAACTACTGAGGGTGGCGCCCGTTCTCACCCTCTTCCCCATGCCCCTGGTCTTGGGGTCTAAGCAAGATTAGCCCAAGGGTGTCTGTAAAGTTGATCCCCCACCAAACTCACCAACTCCTGGCGGAGCCACTCGAGAGCAGAGTTCATTGAGACAAAGCCACAGATGGCTCCAGGTCCCCCCGGCCCGGGTGTGGCTTGGGCCCCACGCCAGGGCTGACTCTGGACTCGGGCAGACCACTCCAGATAGGAGGGCCGCCGGGTCTGTAACTGCAGCTTGGTAGCCAGTGCCTTCACCGAGTCCAGGCTCTCCTCCTCCTCTTCTTCAGCCTTTTCGCCCACTGCCTGGAGCTTTAGTGACCCTAGAGACATGATAGGATGGAGGATATGAGGGCAGGGCTGCAGTTCTGGAGTTACAGAAAGGCTGGCAATATTGCCCAAGAAGGTGTGGCAAAAGTCAAAGGTGAAAGTCAGGGTGGGTGCAGTGGTGAATGGTCAAGGTGGGTCTAGAAGTCTGCATGTACCAGGGTAGTGAGGCTGAGTGCACGGACTGGGATTTTACCGGACTGCTAACCCAGGGAGTCACATGGTGCCCATCCGGTTGGGGGCAGGAGGAACCCTGCTCCTCTGGCCCCTTGGATGAATTTTATTGTCTTTGCCCAGAAGGAGACACCCAGTTCCCAGAAAGGAAGTTGCTCCAGGCTAAGAAAAGCATCATCCACGCTACAGTCTTGGCCCTGCTCCTAAGTCCCAAGTTAAGGGGGTGGGAGAAGAGGAAGACGTTGCCCAGTCAGTCCTCACTCAGTGAGGAATAACCAGAGCCCTGGCTTGGGTACCAAGAGACCTGGGTTCTGGTGCTGACTCTGTGGGACCCTGGGCAAATCACTAACCCTCTCGGGGGCTTAATGGGGACAGATCAATCATTTCAATCTATGCTCTGAGTAGTCTTAGGCTCCCCTGGAAACCCCTCAAAGTGGAAGGAAAAGCAGGATTAGGGATAGATAGGTTCTTTAGGGCCCCTCCCAGCACTCAGCCAAAGTAGCTCCCATTTTAAGTTTATATGGAATTAAAAAATACACCTGGATCCAAAAGACCTGAAAAGACTGATGCAAACAGACACGTGGACACCAATGTTCATTACAGCACTGTTCACAATTGTTAAAAAGTGTCCAACAACTGAACAGACAAACAAAATATGGTGTCTACATACAATGGAATATTACTCGGCCATGAAGAAGAATGAAGTCCTGATGCATGCCACTACATGGATGAACCTTGTAAACATGCTAAGCCCTGATCTGATGTAATGATTCTATGCTGTAAATCCTCACTTCTGTGATGTTACTGAGGTCAGATACAATCTATAGGACTGGGTTGTATCTTGAGTCAATCTCTTTTGACAAGTAAAAGGAGAGAGAAGTGTGCTGAGAGAAAGGGACCTACTATCACCGAGATAGAAGAACCAAGTAATGTGTGTCCTTTGGAGCTGGGGTCCCTCCTAGATCCAGAGGAAGATTGATGACAAGACACATGGAGAGCTCCAAGGACTGTTGGACCTACTGATGCTAAAGTAGACAAGGAAGGACCTTTCTTCAGACCCAGTGCTCTGAATTTGGATTTTTAGCCTCTTAAGCTGTGGAACAGACCATCAATTACTCATATGCAAATTCAAACTGAAGCTGAAGGAAATGAAAACAAGTCCACGAGAGCCAAAATATGACCTTGAATATATCCCACATGAATTTAGAGACCATCTGAAGAACAGATTTGATACATTAAACACTAAAGACTGAAGACCAGAAGAATTGTGGGATGACATCAAGAACATCATACACAAAGAAAGCAAAAAGTCATTGAGAAGACAAGAAAGAAGGAAAAGGTCAAAATGAATGTCAGAAGAGACACTGAAACTTGCTCTCCAGCCATAGAGATGCTAAAGCAAATGGAAGAAATGAGGAGGTTCAAAAGCTGAACAGAAAATTTCAAAGATCAGCTACAGAAGATAAAGCCAAATATTACAATAAAATGTGCAAAGATCTGGAATCAGAAAACCAAAAAGGAAGAACATGCTCAGCATTTCTCAAGTTGGGGGAAATGAAGAAAAAATTCAAACCTTAACTTTCGTTATTGAAAGATTCTCTGGGCAAATTATTGAAAGATGTAGAAAGCATCAAGAGAAGATGGAAGGCATACACAGTGTCACTGTACCAAAAGGAAATGGTTGCTGTTCAACCGTTTCAAGAGGTAGCATATGATCAAGAGCCAATGATACTTAGGGAGGAAGTCCAAGGTGCACTGAGTGAATTGACAAAGAACAAGGCACCAGGAATTGATGGAATAAAAATTGAAATCTTTCAAGAAAGTGAGGTGGCACAGGAGGCACTCACTCATCTGTGCCAGGAAATGTGGAAGACAACTATCTGGCCGACTGATTGGAAGAGATCCATATTTGTGCCCATTCCAAAGAGAGGTGACCCAATGGAATGCGGAAATCATCGGACAAT